GAAGCCATTCTGCTTTGTATAAAAAGGCTAAATAATTACTGGAGCAAGAACTTAACTCATGTCTATCTAGATATGTGCTTATTACTTATAGCATGGTTCTCACTCCCTGTGACTGCTGAAAGGGTGTTTGGATATGGTAGGTGAAGCACAGCAATTTCATAGGAAAATTCAGATATGAAGAATCTAGAAATATTAATCAGAAAATGATCGAAGAAGTAATAAAATAAACAGAACTTGTGGAAGGAGTTTTTTGTGTCAGATGAGGATATAGTCCAAGAGGTTTTGAAATAAAAGGAAAGAACTCCTGAGGAAGGACTTTGGAACATAAAATTCAGTAGCAGGTTATCACCCCCTATCCCTAAGAAAAATCAAAAATTAAGTCCTTGCTTACAAAAGCAAAACACAAAAACCTAGCAGTTTAAAGAATTGTTAGAGGAATTACAGTAGGCCATGAGTTAAAGTGATACTAGCTGTGTTGATAATATGATTAAAATTGCATAGAATTAAATGAAATTTATACAGACATTAAAAATTAAGTCAAGATAAAATGTAGCCTTGATTTTGGATAAAAATTACTTTGAGGTGATGGGTGCATGGTATAATTACAATGCTGACTAAAATAAAATGTAAATGACTGTATCTTTTCTTTTTTTTTATAGTTCTAAAACAGATCCTGTTACTGGAGCTGTGAAAAATACCAAATACCATCAGCTTTAGTAAGCACTGCAAAAGTAACTTTGCTTGGTCACATAAGCCTGCAGTATAAGTGTTTGAGCACACACATGCATGTATGTGTGCATGCCCATGTGTTTTTCTCTTTTTTCCCCAAAAAGGTTTTTATTTCCATGGATTGTTTGAGGAGGAGGATGAATAGAATGAGGATTTTTTTATCAGGCTTTTCTTCTTCACTTGCATGTAATTTCCCTAGTTTCATTACACATTTCTGAAATACTGGTATTTCTGACACTCCTCAGTTTAATTTATTTTTCATAGGAAAGGACTTAACTGTGGTGTAGACACAAGTGACACAGCAGTTTTGGCACTTCTGTAATGGTTATCCTTACGTATTGTTCACAGTGACTTGCTGGGTTTGGTTACTTACCTGGACTGGGTCATGATCATTGTTACTATATGCTCCTGCATTTCCATGATGTTCGAATCCCCCTTTAGAAGAGTTATGCATGCTCCAACACTCCAGGTACTGTCACTGAATCGTTTTACATTTAATGAAGCACAGTCACCTTGGTTTTCTCCACTGCCTGTTCCTAAATTATGACTGTTCTCTGCTTTGATTTTCAGATTGCTGAATATGTTTTTGTAATATTCATGAGCATTGAGCTTAATCTGAAGATTATGGCAGATGGCTTGTTTTTTACACCAACAGCTGTCATTAGGGACTTTGGAGGAGTTATGGACATATTTATATATCTTGTAAGTTTTTATACTTATGGGAAGTTTCTGTAGCATTCTTAATTTTGATATTTTTGGATATATAAATGTTTGGTAATATTAAAAATTTTGTCTCTGCAGCCTGGTGCAAATGCACTAGTATCATATGTGTACAAACACCACTGTTTTCATGTGCAGTCCTGTCAATTATGTGTACAAATACTTGTTTAGATGTCTAAAAATACACTGATGTGATAAGCACCTGGCAATTTAGTGTAGGGCCATACAATGGCCCCTTTTAAATGTTTATTTGCTGATATGTTTTAAGTATGAGGCCTGATTTCATTCCAGAGTAAACTAGAGATCTCTGACCTTGCTTCAGCGTTTTTATGCAGGAGAATATTTTATCTGTTTCTTAGTCATTCATTGCTTCCTCCCCTCTCAACAGTTCTCCTGCTTTATAGAAGGTGTTTCAAAAACCTCTGCCATTTGACAGAAGGACACATCCTTGTTGCTGGTGTTGCTATAGCAGAAAGAGAGCAAAGCAGCGTCTTCCTATATTCCATACTTGTCAGTTGTGGTTCTCAGGAAAAAATTGTCTCCTGGAAATTTCTTGCATTCCATTCAAATACAAGAGAAGGGGGTATATTTCCTCTTCACATATGACAATAAACACCACTGAATGAGTCAAAAGAGTGCTCAGTGTAACACAGTACGAAATATTTTCTAACTGAAGAAATTACTACGCAAAATGGCTTTGATGGATTTAGATTAAATCTTTCAGAGATTAATCCACCAGACAGATGTGCTGCATAAAATTTGTCACGATCAATTTGTATCAAAGATTCCATTGTTAGCATAAATAAAAACATGCATGCTTCTGCAAAACTCCTACTGTAGTATGCATAATCAGTATGTGCATTAGTTTCTTGAAATCCCTCTGAATCCCTCTGCTTGTCTGAAAGGAAAACTTAGGTGGTGTAGCTTGGATATTCCAAATGTGCCTATGGTGGTCTTAAAAGAATATGAAAGAAAGTCAGAAGCACTGGCAAATCTTTTTTTTTTTTTTTTTTTTTTTTGGTGGGGCAGCTGTCTTTTACTACTGTTGTTTTTAGCAAATGATATTATGCTTTAAATCATATTGGTGATATCAGCTTGATCCTCCATTTTTTGTGCACTTACCTCTTTGCAACACTCTCACTTCTGTCCCCCGTAATAACACTGGCTTTATAAATACTTTTTAAAAAATAAGGAGTAATTAACAGACTTTACAATCAATAACCATCTGTCAGAGATTGCTCAGGCTACAAGACACAACTATGCTGTTTGAAAACACTTTAGAGTGCATAATATTTGCGTGATAAAACCACACAGTGACAAAACTACTTATGCCTGTAACAAAGTGCTAGGAAAAACTGTCAAGGAAACTGTTAAAGGACTTTCCAGGTGACACTATCTCAGTTTCAGGATAGAATCTCTGTTTGAAATTAGAAGGGGGGAGAGAGATGATGCTGCGTGCTCTGAGAGTATAGTTCATGTCCCTGCTCTGAATCGGCCAATTTGATTTCTTCTTTGGAACTGTTCCATCTGCTGAGAAGAATAGAATATATTTTGAGTCAAAGGGAAAGGCAGAGGCTGAAGCTGATGCCCATTAGTTAGGAGAATCGTTAAGAGCACAGGAGATCCAAGTCTTTTTTTCTAAATTAGGCTTTTTTTGCCTTAATCTTCACTTTAATTTTAAGGAAGAGAAGTGTTTATTGATCTTCTGTGCTGTGTCTATGTCAAGTGAGACATTGTAAGCCTAATCTTTCTTTGCCTTTTCCTGCCCTGTCTCCTGAAGGTGAGTTTGATATTCCTGTGCTGGATGCCTCAGAACGTCCCTGCCAAATCTGGAGCTCAGCTCTTAATGGTACTCCGCTGCCTCCGACCTCTTCGAATTTTCAAACTGGTCCCTCAGATGAGGAAAGTGGTGCGAGAGCTGTTCAGTGGCTTTAAGGAAATCTTCTTGGTATGTGCCAGTTATTTTGTTCTTGTTGTTAAAAAATGAGACGTGGAGGAGTAATAAGATACCATTTCGCTCTAACATTTATGTTTTCTAATCTTTTCTCCATTCTTGTCTGTTTACTTTTCATTGTAGCTACCACTGCAGATGACCACAGAACAGGTTAAAAATTAGGAATATAAGTAACTCATTTACATATATACTGAATAAAGCGGCTGTAATAATTCTTTTATAAATTATATTATTCATTCAGTGTATATTTGGCCATAATTACATAGGAGGACAACTGAAATCAAATCTACCTCTTATTCAGACTTCTAGTTGGGGAAGGAGGTTGAGACGTAGGGTATGGCAGCTCTGCAAGAACAAAAGTGAACCTGGTTTCAGAGCTGAAGGTCTCTACCTCCATGTTTTTTGTGGGGCAACCAGAGACAATACAGTTGTTCATCACAGATCTAGATCTCATTGTTATGTCATTGTTGTTATTATTACAATCATGATTATGCACTTATAGTAATAATAACAATAATGGAGTCTGTTGTTGCTTGATCAAAACCTAATCTATTGTCTTGGGACCCTATGTGATATTTGTCAGCCTAAACAGCAGACACTTTGTTCCTTAACAGAATGCTGTATTAGTTTAGGTTGTTATAAAAAGCTAAGCTACAAAATATTTGCAGACAGTAATACAGCAAGGACAAAAACTATACAGCTAGTTAGCATTTCATAGATACTATATTCTGTTAAAGATATTTACATCGTAATTTGCTCATTCATATCTTTGTTGTAGCTATCCTGGAATTAAATATCTAACAATGGCTTACTCAGATTAATTGTTAAAGCCTGATTCAGCAAAACAGAAGCAGCGTGTATTTAAGTAATTGAAGAGTTCTCTTTAAAGTGAATGGCAGTTCTTATGCATACAGAACTTAGCAAGATGGTACACAGAGTACAAGAAAGCTTCAATCCTTGTCTACAATTCTTAAATGTTACGTTAATAATACTGCTAATAATAACACAGCACTTGGTTACTGGATCTGAACCTAAAATAACATGTCTGTCACGAAAGCCTTATCTCCAGGTTTATACAATAAAATGATCCTCCCTGCGGTTCATGGAAGGATCAGACCCCCTTTTTCAAGTCTGCTGGAGGAGAGCTTGACAAGTCTACCTTCATCTTTACAGGTTTCTATTCTTTTGCTGACATTAATGCTTGTTTTCGCAAGCTTTGGAGTGCAGCTGTTTGCTGGAAAACTGGCTAAATGCAATGATCCACACATCATCTCTAGGGTAAGAACTGCTTTTCTGCTTCAAAATAATAGTATGCTGTGCCATTTCTGCCTGCTGGGGAAAGCAAGTAGGGCAATCAGAGCTATCATATGAGAGATGGAGATCTTGGGAACTTTCTTGTTTAGAAGCAGGATGATGCAGGGAAAGGTGATAAAGGAGTGAGTGAATAAGTCTGGGTGTTCATGTAAAAAAGTAAAGCAAGTCCAAATATTGGGGATTGTCTGGAAAAGCTGTCAAATTCATACCATATTATCTGCAAAGGACTGGATGTCGCATGGAATTAACCATGGATATGATGCCTTTGCATTCATAGGTAGCAACTAAAAAACAGGTTAGGCTGCTAGAGGTCAAAAGCACTGTGAATGCTGTGTAGGTTACATGGAGAAAGTTAGCTGTACTCCATTTGGAGAAATATCACCTAAAGAGAGCAATTATCATTAGGAAATAAGTGAAAGGCTACATAGCCTTGCAAAATGAAAAGCATTCTCAGTCACAGAATCACAGAATGGTAGGGGTTGGAAGGGACCTCTGGAGATCATCTAGTCCAACCCCTCTGGCAGAGCAGGATCACCTAGAGCAGTTCATACAGGATGGCATCCAGGTGGGTTTTGAATATCTCCAGGGAAGGAGACTCCACAGCCTCTCTGGGCAGCTGTTCCAGTGCTCTGCCACCTTCAAAGCCAAGAAGTCTTTCCTCATGTTCAGGTGGAACTTCCTGTGCTCCAGTTTGTGCCCATTGTCCCTTGTCCTGTTGCTGGGCACCACTGAAAAGAGTCTGGCCCATTCTTCTTGACACCGGCCCTTTAGATATTTATAAGCATTGATAAGGTCCCCTCTCAGTCTTCCCTTCTCCAGGCTAAACACACGCAGGTCTCACGGCCTTTTCTCATAAGAGAGATGCTCCAGTCCCTTAATAGTCTTCATAGCCTTCCATTGGACTCTCTCCAGTAGATTCCAATCCTTCTTGAACTGGGGAGGAGCAGAGAACTGGACACAGTACTCCAGATGTGGCCTCATGAGGGCAGAGGAGAGAGGGGGGTTTTAGAGAAGGAGGAGAACCTCCCTCAACCTGCTGGCCACACTCTTAATGCACCCCAGGATGCCATTGGCCGTCTTGGCCACAAGGGCACATTGCTGGCTCATCGTCAACTTGCTGTCCACTAGGACTCCCGGGTCCTTCTCTACAGAGCTGTTCCCAGCAGATCAATCCCTAGCCTGTACTGGTGCATGGGGTTGTTCCTCCCCAAGTGCAGGACCCTACACTTGCCCTGACTGAACCACATTAGATTCCTCCCTGCCCAGCTCTCCAGCCTGTCCAGGTCTTGCTGGATGGCAGCACAGCCCTCAGGTGTGTGAGCCACTCCTCCCAGTTTCATTATCATCAGCGAACATGCTGAGGGTGGGCTCTGTCCCTTCATCCAGGTCATTGATGAATATGTTGAACAAGACTGGACCCAGTACTGACCCCTGGAGAAGTCCTGGAAGGAGAAGGGTTTTTTGAATTCTTCCAAGATGCATTTTTTTCATTTGGGTAAAGGTCCATGACTATTAATCCCAGACCTGTAAATAACCCTTCATTTCTGTTTACATTGCTTCCCCATCATGGCAAGGGTGCTGTCTATACTGGCATTTTGGCATCTCTCACAGGCCATTGTTTAATCTTAGGCTGTGGTTTTTTCCACTGTAGGAAGATTGTCATGGCATCTTCAGAATAAATGTAAGTGTTTCTAAAAATCTCAATTTAAAGTTAAGACCTGGAGAGAAAAAGCCTGGATTTTGGGTGCCACGAGTCTGGTGAGTTGCTACGCATTGGCCTATCCTTCTTCAAAACCACAGCTGTTAATGTAGAAAATGGCTCAAATCTCATAGCATTCAACTGCTGATGGAGGGGGTTTATTATAAGTCAAATGATATTAAGGGTAAAAATTCTGGTATACTTAGTAAAGACTTTTCCAGACTTCACCTGCTGTTCTATTCATAAAGCACAAAGGAAAAAAATACCTGTAGGTACCGAACCTAGGAATTAGATGTGATTTTTATTACAGTGGGAGTTACTGTCTTGAACCAAGATTATCACTTAATTGTTGTTTAGTTCTATTACGAAGACATCCTGAGAGCCATACATCAACACAGAACCTAAGAATAAATAGGAAAAGATGGGAAAAGAAGAAAGGGAAATCAACCTGCCTACAGCTACCCATAAAAAATGAGCAAGTCATGTCTAAATCCAGCCTTTCTCTTCTATGGCCATCAACCACACCAGCTAGCAGCTTCTTTCTGTTTCCAATGCAAGAAATCCTTGTGGTCTATCTGGTGCAGTAGTGCACTGCAAATTATATAAGAGCTAATGTTACATTTATGATTAGTATTCTGATAAAGTTCGTTTAATATTTCCCAACACCTGAACAGATGAAAAAAACTTTTTAAGGTTAAAAAACTTTTTTTAATTATTTGCTTTTTTAAGTTGAGTGGCATTTTGCAAAATCAGCTTAACAGCCACAATTATTTTAATTGACTATGTGCGTGGATAAAGAATGTACCAGCAGTGGTAGATTCAGAGCCATCCTACACTAATCAAATAATATATTGTGATTTGAATAGTCAGTGAAACATCTGCAGAAGGATTTGCTTCTGTATGCTTCAGACAAATTCCTCCTTGAGTAAGCAAATTCAATCCTCTTCAGCTTGATCCAGAAATAAGCAAGAACGGTCTTAATCAGCATAACTGTAAACTTTGGGGAATGTTTTGTTATTGCAGAAAAATGTTTTACCGCAAGGACATTTATACCACCTGTTGGCTGTTTCAGGACAGATTTTTCAAGAGCCAGATGTCAGTATAAGGACTGCATTTAAAAGAAATATCTGCATCTGAGAACTTTCCTTTTCACTGAATGGCTGCATTTTCAGAAGCACCAAACACTTGATAATTCTTCTGGAATACAACTATTTACCTTAAATTGTTGAAAATTAATTGGTCTCCTTGCATTATCTGTCTCAGGTTGTAGAGACAGAGAAATGTGCTAAGCTAGCCCTAAGAGGGTGCTTTTAATGTTCATCTGGAAACACCCTTTTGAATCTCAATTGATACAAAAGGTCAGAGCATATGGAATAGGGAAGCCAAGATGTGATGTCCTCTCAGTAAGTTTTGCTTTAGACCATCAGTTTCTGTTGATAATGAAATAAGGAACAGCATTTTCTAAACAATCTCTCTGACTTTGGAATCCTCATCATTTATGTGGGTTTGAGACTGGTCTTCTTCAGGGAAATATATTTTAGAATCTGGCCAATGCTATCAGATCCGTTTTTTCATGAATGTTGTATTTTGCTAATTTCGTTGACAAAAACACTACAATGCAGCAACATGTTATAAGCTTTATTACTGTGAATCAAATTCTAAGTAAGAAAATAGAACATACATAGGGATCAAAAAAATTACACTGTACGTAGTTATTGCTATTGCTATTGTTTCCTTACTCTTGAGACACAACTGTAACTTACATATTTCAGAGGCTTTCACACCAGCTTTGCAAGGTATTTAGATGTTAATTAGACTATGAAGAATCAAGGTAACAAACAGAAAGAACAATTTTATTGCTGAAGTTACACCTGTTTGTTTACTGCATTTCAGGGCAAATCCTCGGAATTTTAATTTTGACAATGTGGGGAACGCAATGCTGGCACTATTCGAAGTTCTTTCATTAAAAGGCTGGGTGGAAGTCAGAGATGTTATTATTCATCGCGTTGGACCAGTAAGAAACCACATCAGAGTCTTTTAATTCTACAACACATACTTTGATTTGTTTTAACTATTAATCTTATTTTTCTCTGTTCAGATTCATGGAATCTACATTCATGTTTTTGTATTCCTTGGCTGCATGATTGGACTGACCCTTTTCGTTGGAGTTGTCATTGCTAATTTCAATGAAAACAAGGTACTGAGTGAGGTGGTTTATTGTGTATACAACTGGCTCTGTAAGAAACCTGAAACTGGTATTACACTGTCTACATTACCTGGTAAGACTGCCTTTAAGACTGACTTACCAATCTTACATTCTGCAAACCTGCAAGTCTGGCTTCAGGCACGCCTGATCCATATTTGCTGCAAAACTGAAGCCTGGGATGATGGCAATCCATTCAAAGTCAACTGAGTTTATTTACAATGCAGCCATGCTGCCAGATGGAGCTTTAACCTAAAGCACAATGTATTTACAGATGCTCCACATTCTGCTGTTTTAGTTTGCATACATGCAGTGGCAGGTAAAAAGACATATTATGCTTGTACATGGTAAAACTAAGGGGTCTCATTAGAGCCCTGCAATTGCAGTATTTCACATCCAAAGGAAAGCTGCCTGGCTTTTTCCTGGCAAACAGCAGAGCGTGTTGTAAAATTGATTGCTCATCACTCAAACAAAAATGTAGCTAGCATTCTAGGGAAAAACTGCAGTTCATGTGGGCTTTGTGGATTATCCTGAAAGGTAGAAAAACATATCCCTGGGTCAATGGTTACAGAGCAGGTCTACACTTGTTAAAGATAGCATCGTCTGGATGGATCTGCCACATAACACCGAACAGCCCTTAATCTGACTTTTTTTTCTGAGCATCTTGTGGTGACCCTGTGGCACTAAGACATAACTTTTAATTTTTCTCATCTTTCAATTCAAAGTCCCAAAAATAATGAGGTATCAGTGAGCAGCTAGCTAAAGTGATATTTTTATCACTCATTGACCACACTGGAGGGAAAGGATGATTGTGCGCCCTGGGGCTTGGAGGTGCAAGGCAACCCGGTGTGCTAGTGCTGGAGACACACTGGGTGCTGGCCGTGGCTCTACTGTGGCCCTGACCCCAACTCTGTAGCAAACATAACTATTGAGTTTTCCCTTCAAGGAAACCACTTGACTCCTTCTTGCAGGGAGCTGGGCAGCACACTACTGTGTGCCCAATGTAGGCAAGTAAGGCATCATGAAATGAAGTCAAGCAGATTGCAAACCAAATAAATAGCCTAAAAAACCCACTGCTGTTCAGAAGAACGTATTTTTATGTTTGTGTGACTCCAGTGTAATCTTGGTGAGATAAAGTGCAGTCATTCTTGTTAAAAGGTAACTGTTCTAGAGAACAAGAAGAAATGTGCTATTCATTTGTTTTCTTTTTCACTAAATTTTGACTAGTGAATTAACAAAGCTGAAATTTCTCCAGTATGAGAATTCCACTGGATTTTTATAGATGCTTTTGCCCCTTCCTGTTCAGCTTTGTAATATTGCTTTTCCTTCAAATGTGTCAGCCTTACACTGATGAATACAGTATATTTTTCAGCAAGTCTCAAAAAAAAAAAAAGGTAATTTCATTTAAATTAGTTATTTTAGTGGGGTTTTTTTATAACTATGATTTATTTAGCTGTGTGTGTTTCTGTCATGTACATCACAGTTCATGAAACTCTATTGAGATGTTAGCTGAGCATTTCTATCATAGAAATTGTTTCTTCCTTCCCCTTTACACTTTCCACGCAGGTCCACTTCCTCAAAAGCCTGTTTATAGGCACAAGCATAGGCGAGAAGAAGAAATATCACATTACAGAGTTCACTCTTAAGTAGCTTGTGATCATGGCTGATCAAACATCTTTCATTTACCCTGTTGAGGTGTGGTGCGTGAGGTGTTGAGGAGCGAGGAAGTGATGTGTTTGCCCTTTAGTTTTGCTTGTGGTCTTGAACGTATCTGTCATGAATTCTGAGCCAGCTCTATGGGCAATGGAGAATCATCAGGAGACACTTGCTGCTCTGGATTGCTTTGCTATACCTACAGGCATCTCCTTTTGGCCATTGTCGTAGAAAAAAGGTACTAGGAGAGCTGAATATTTGACCTTACTAGTATGACTTTTATTATGTTTTTGTGACAATAGGCCCAAACTTACCAAGTGCTGTCAATCTCCTAGACAGTGTTTTCACTCTTAGTTCCCACTCTTTCTGTAGGAGTCACTCACAAGATCAAGCTCACTGTGTCCACCTGTCTCCAGCAAAGGCAACTTCTGAGATTTCTTTCACAAATTAGTGAGATGTCATTAACTAATAACTCAGTATTCATCTGTGTAGTCAACTGTCGATTATGGAATAAGGTGATCTGGGCCAACCCACAGGTTATTTTTCAAGTGATTTATCCACAATATCAGTGTAAATCTTTCATGAGTTTTTTATTTTTAAGTTTGAAATATCAACATGAACAGGGGGAAAATACCCTTAATTATATGTGACTGTGTAGCAGATTCAAATGTCATTCCCTCCTCCTAGATATGCAACTTTAAAGAGACAGGACAGCTCAAACTCATGTGAAAAGTAAAAGTTCGTTTATGTTCACTGTACGTGATTCAAAATGAGAGGGAACTGGAAGGTGTGAACATGAGGCTTACAAGGATTGTGAGCACAGGAGATAACTAAACAATTCATCTTAGCACAGATTGTCCCTGTATGAGCTGTCAGTGTAAATGTGGAAGACTAAGGTGTAGGCCCTGAATCAGGGTTCCCATTATTTTCAGAAAATTATCTGATTTTTACATTTGTCATTTTGGGGTGGTTTTCTCTGCTTATATCCTTTCCTCAAACTACAGCCACCTCTTCGACTATGAATGCTCTCCTCCATATCTGAATACAGGAAAAGCATTAGCCTGAACATCAAAAAAGCTAGTAACAGTTCCCTATGAATTACAATGAGTAGGCACATTATGCAATATTTCTATAGAATTTACATGATACCAAAAATACAGTCAATATAAATCATTTCTGTCATCTGGTTCAGCTTCTTCAGTTGTTTCTTAGTAACCTCAGGTAGCTGCTGTGGCATGTGATGCTTGTTTTTCTCTCTTTTTTCTGAATACTTTTTACTTTTTATGTATTTACTATAGGGAAAAGAAAACATCTTCAGATTTGATTTGAAAGGATGAATAAGTTAGTGGGAGAAAAAAAAGGATTTGATTTGAAAGGATGAATATGTAGTGGGAGAAAAAAAATCTCAGCCCAATCAATATTCAAGTAGAGTGAAGGAATGTCCAGGAACTGAAAAAAAAATGTGAAGATAGAGCAAAGACTGGCAACTAGTTTAGAAAGAAGACAGCAAAACCATCGCTGTGTGAGGTTAAGTTGCATCTTCTTAAAACTGGTTCCTTGGCAAAGCTATTGGTGTTTTAAGTAAACATTGGCGTTAGAAAGTTCATGGCTGATAACATGGTTAGGGTAGTGCCAGGAGTTGTTGAGGAGCGTCACAGTTGGACAGTTACTGAATAAACTATTTTATGTGAGAACAAACAATTTTTTAAAAAAAAACAAACCCAAAATATTTTCAGAGTAGTATGCTGTAGTATTTCATGTGAGCTGTTGGAGCTGCAGGCATGGAGACATTGGACTGGGAAGTACCACAGGGGGCTCTGGGCTGTCCCAGTGACAAGCCAGTAGCCTGAAGTGTTCCACCGCCCCGCCATTTCACAACCCCCACCCATCACTTCTCACAGCTCCCAAGTGCCACATGTTCAGTCGGCAGTGAAGACGTGATCGACTCAAATATTATCTGCCTGTTTTGAGCTGAAGTCAGAATGCAAATACAACTCCTCCAGCAGTAGTCCCACTTGTGGGGCTCTGCTCTGTGGTCCCCTTGTAATGGTCCCGCTGGTGGAAGTGATAGTTTCTGAGCAACAGAGCAACTTGGCATCACTATTGCTAAATTTTACAAAAGTCCACTTTTTTTGCCACCTTTTGTCTTGTTTGCAGTGAAAGATCTCCAAGAATATAAACCAGACACGCTCATTTGGGTGAATGAGTTGCCTTTTAATTTAAGCATTTCTGAATGGTGTGGTTTGGGCCTGACATGAGTAATAGGCATTCTCGCATCTGTCACTTTGTCTGCATTGTGTTAGAAGGCACCTCCTCCCAGGGTGCCATTTGGGGACACAGCTCCATAAAGAGATTATGTCCACTGAGAGGGAGGAATCCTGACCTTATCAGTCACACAGCCAGCTGTAGTTCCAGTGTCTACACAAGCCAATGCCGAGGCAAGCCCCAAAGATCACATCAGCCCTCGCCCAGCTCGGTGCAGCTCTGTGCTGACTGAGGGAGCAGCCAAGTGTCTGGGAGACAGGCTTGTGACATTTACCTTGAAAAGGTCTCGCTTGTTTTTGTATCTCCAGACTCCTTCCATGAGATTTTACAGTTTGTCAGCCCAGCCCTAACCCGTGACACAGTTCTCTGAAGTGATGAGGCCCTCATTTTGTTTTGAAGGTCATTTTAAATAACATTGAATTCTGTTTGGGGTTTGCTTGTTTCTTCCTATGTTATGAAAACATGCACGTTGCCATCTACCACCGCCCACCCTAAAGGTGTATGTCTGCCTCTCCTTGTGCTTCCTTTGTGGAGAGCTCTTGTAGATTCACAGCATACTATTATTTTATTTCAATTATACCCCAAGCAGAAGAGCTGTGGAGAGCGTCAGCGGTGTCCTGGAGGGCTCGTTCCCACAGAAACTGTAGCGGCACTGACGAGCCGCGGGATTTTCTGCAGCAAAGTCCGGACAAAATCGACCACTTTTTAAAACAGTGCTTCCTGGCAAATGATGTTCAGTCAAATGGAAGACCTCCTGTAGTTTTCTACTGCTCACACTGGGCTCCTGCTACAAAGAGCAACAACTGTGCCTGCTGAGTTGAGTCCCAGAAACTCACAGCTAATGCATCCAGAAATCCTCTTGAGTAACAGCTGATACTTTAGACCCCTTTACCCAAACAGTGTGTTATTTAAGGAGAGTTGCGTATGTAACTTTATTTCAGGCACCAAAGAGAATGTTGTTTTCATGTTTACAGCATTAAATATTCTAGCTTTTATATGACAAAAGCTTTATACGCTTCTCTTTGTTTGTTAAGGGGACAGCTTTACTGACTGTAGATCAGAGACGATGGGAAGATCTGAAAAGCAGACTGAAGATAGCACAACCTCTTCATCTCCCACCTCGTCCGGGTATCAAAGATATTTTGATTTTATTCATGTTGAGCCCTAGTGTTCATAATTCCCCAGGAGTCTGCGATTCAAATTAAAATTGTAATCGTGAGGCCACTAGGAGGTTGTGCATAAGTTAATGTGGAAACAGGCTTCAACTACAGATCTCTGCATAAGGCTATTAAAATCAACCCAAAAAAGGTTGTGCTTCGATGGTTTTAGGATAAGCCTTAATGAAGAAATGAATTTCTAAATGAAAAATATTTGCAGTTGGCTGTTAATGATATGAATGGAATGTATTAACCTGACAGCAGTTGAATGATGCACTTGCCCTACAAGTACCAAAGCCTTCATGCAACACTGCCATTCGATATTTGAAATTATATGTTCAGAAGCTGTATTTGATATGGAAAATTGTAGCAGAAAATTAGAAAAGTATTTTGAAACATAGAAAGGATTATTTTGCCACTAATGAACATGGAAAATACTTCAAGAAATAGGGGAAAAATAGCACTGTGTATTTTAACTCTCCTCCACAAACTCGTTCTTTTTCAGATAACGATGGCTTTAGAGCTAAGATGTATGATATAACTCAGCATCCATTTTTTAAGAGAACTATTGCTGTACTTGTTCTGGCCCAGTCTGTGTTGTTATCAGTTAAGGTAATTGTGTTTCTTTTAAGCATTTCATTATAGTAGTACAGCATGTGTTGCACATTTCCTAACACCAATTAACGATCAATTGATCCATTACTGCGATGAATGTACGGAAACATGATTTCTATATAGAGCAATCTCAGTTGGCACAGATCACTGTGGATTAATTGTAACTTGTGGAGCTGAGTCGATTTCTGCCTTTTTGAAGTCTGGTCCAGTATTTTTAATTTCCAGTTAAGCTGTAAATCTGTGAGAGAAGAATAAGCCAAGATGCTATTCTTATTAAGTATATTTTAAGGTGAAATCTATTCATTAACAAAACCCACAAGGCAATCAAGAGGCACTTAGTTCTGTTTAAGAGGTACTCTTCTGAGAACGGATTTTGTTTTCATTTCAGTGGGATGCTGCAGATCCAGTGACTGTGCCTTTAGCAACAATGTCCGTTGTTTTCACCTTCATTTTTGTCCTTGAGGTAAAGTAATATATTTTATGACTTCTTGAGATTAAGACTAGTATGCATATATTTAATTTTGTCTCTAGGGATGTTGTCTCATTCTTCACTATGGTTTTTGTTTCTGAACATGTACATTTGGGGGTCTCTAGGGATGTTGTCTCATTCTTCACTATTTTTTGTTTCTGAACATGTACATTTGGGACTTTCCATGTCACTTGTCTTTAAACATGTATTGCAGGAATAAACTCTTAATTTGTTATAGTCATACCTCTCCGCCACCTTGAGCTTTGTGTCCTTTTGTATATATTCAACTCTGAGCATTTCAACATGTGCTTGGTGAACCCAGTGAATTCTTTTCTTGTAGAACATCTCAGATCAAATTCACTCCGTACAACACAAGGTCCGTGTTGTATCATGGAAGTTCTGCTCGATCCATTTATAATTTGCCTGGTGTGTTAATCCCCACCATTCTGTAGCTGTGATGACATCAAACCTCTCTCAGTTTTGTTTCATTTTTTTAATAAGCTATGTCAAATGCCAGTATTGTCTCTCTTCTGTTGCTGTGTGGATCTGGATCGTGTGTGTTAACGTTTCTCTATGAGAAAATTGTCACCACAGCCAACCGTCCAAGGTGTAATTAGCCTGTTTTCGTAAGATTGGAATCTAAGGACTTACACACAATTTTTGAAGCACATATTTTTTCATGTAGGAGGATATCCATAGTGTAACAAAACACACATTTATGAGGTTGAAGAAGATGCTTCCTCTGTGGTTAGATTAGTACATCATTCTTTTTTAAGTTTGTGGTTGAGTATTTTTCTTTTCAGTCCCCTCTGAATAGCTGATACTGACCACTATCAAAAACAGGATAGTAGACTACGTTTCCCACTGCTCTAATCCGATGTGACAGTTCCTATGTTCCAGTGATAGGTTTTGCCAGCAGTGATGAATAAACAATGAAGTGAATACTTGTAGGAACTGCAGCTAGAGTATGTTCTTTTTCCCGTACCCGGGAGAAATCGGTATCTCTTGAGAGATTGAGCAAACAGAGAAAAGTTTGATTTGTATCATACACAGACAGGTTTTAATTTACCTAGTAACTATGTCTTTAGAAATACTTTTTTCTCTTGTACTGCCAGGGGAAACAAATACACTTCTAGAATTTCAAAGGAACTTTGTCAGAGCCAAGAAAAATTTGTTGACTGTCTCAACAGGCAAGCTGTCACACTGTGAATGCACACGATTTATGCAGAGGGGAAGCAGCTTCCTGCCCAGGATCTTCCCTAATGCAGCGTAGTTTGGTTACAGAGTCTGCTATGTATAGAGTCTGCTACCCCTAGCAGGCATGGTCCATGAGGAAGGCCAAAGCTTTCTGCATAGCTAATGGCCCTGTGTCCAGTCTAAGGACTCCTGATTCACTCTTAAACCTCTACTGCTTACATCAGTATATGTGGTATAGAAGAACAGGAAGAATTCAGAGATCTCACTTTTGTTACCACACTGATGATTACAGAGTAAAGTGAGGTGTGATTTTTTTATTTGCATGATCTGGTATTCAGTTTAAGATTATAGACACCTGAACTTAGGTGTTTAAATTCTACATATGAGGTAGGGGTTTAAACTGTCATCGTGATCAAGCGAGATGTAGGGTGAGATTCAGTTGCCTAAATAACTGAAGGCTTCAAAAGCTTTTTTGGGTACCCGAGCTGATCTCCCCTTACCTCCACTAGCCCCTACAGAAGGACAGGGATGTTTGCAGGTCTTGTGTCATCTCTGCCATCTATCTCAAATATTCTAGGGCATCTCAGCTGACTGGATATAAGGAAGCAAGATACCTTTAGGTACCCTCAAATGGTAATTAGAGTTTCAGAGACCATATTCTTCATTTTGTAGTCAGACTTCAGGAAACATTATACAGCAAAAAAATAACTGTAAAATCAGCCTTTTACCTCAAACTAGTGTCCTTTCATATACAGTTTAGGTTTCAGAAATGCGAAGAATACTGCTAAATGGCAGTGTTGCAAGGTGGGATGGAAAAAAAACATGTAATGAATGTCTGACATTTATAGCCTTTATATAGTAATACTTGACTTGCTTTAAGGTTTAATACAAATTGCGAATGAGAAACTCTCCGGTGTTCCCTCTACATGCACCACCCTACCTCGACATCTGTTAGCTGTGATGACTATTTCTTATCAGTATCTATTCTTAAGCTTCCTGTCTGCACTCCCATTACCTGTATTGGAAATGTCAAGCACTTTGGCTGCTGTCTCTGACCAGGCACATTGTAAAATGTGCTCCTTAGCTTTCTTCTCTTATCTGCTGATGAATAAAGATGATACTGAGTACAGAGTATTCCTTAAAGCAAGAAATACTGGCAGTATGAGAAAGCTTTTTGATTCATTTCAACTATAGGTGCTACAGAACATAATTATATTCTTGAGTTCAAATGTGCTTATGTGATTTTAGCCTGCTTACGAACAGCTGGATAGATAGGATACTACTACCTCTTTTAGCTACATATTATTGACATATTCATTTTCTAAGTTCATGACTTGCTTAACTATGAGAACTCTTAAGCCCAGATTCACCTCAGCAATCTACACATTAAGCATTCAGTCTAAGGTGGTCAGCTGCACTCCTTCCTTTAATACTTGATGGAGAGAGACACTTCCAGAACACTGTTTATCCCCTGGTCTTGGTTATCTGTGGTCTTCCACAACTATCAGTTTTCCTCCATCTAAGGGGAGCTTATGTGATCCTGTTAGTCTAGCAGCCTAACTTGTGCATATGGGAACAGTTAGCTGACATGAAACCTGCCCTTGGTTGTTTGAAACTATTTCATAAGATGAACTCAGTCAAACATTGTAGAGAATGGAAGAGGTTCTTATAGCAAGAAATAGCCATTTCTTCACTACAACTGAGAAATTGTTTTTATCCATAGGTCACAATGAAGATTATTGCCATGTCACCTTCTGGCTTCTGGCAAAGCAGAAGAAATCGGTACGATCTCTTGGTGACATCTCTTGGAGTTATATGGGTGATACTTCACTTTGCCTTACTGGTAAGATTTACAAAATGTAGTTCCAGTGACGGGGAAAGTTTGCAGTTCCAGGAAAGATGGGGAGTGACTCTTTATCAAGGAGTACAGTGATAGGACGAGGGGCAACAGTTTCAAACTGAAAGAGGGGAGATTTACATTGGATATGAGGAAGAAATTCTTTACTGTGAGGATGGTGAGACAGTGGCACAGGTTGCCCAGAGAAGCTGTGGCTGCCCCTCCCTGGCAGTGTTCAAGGCCAGGCTGGATGGGGCTTTGACCAACCTGGTCTAGTGGGAGGTGTCCCTGCCCATGGCAGGGGGGTTGGAACTAGATGATCTTTAAGGTCCCTTCCAACTCAAACCATTCCATGATTATATGATTAAGCTTGGTTTTATCTGTTAAGCACCAACATTAGGATCACTGTCATACATTCAGATGGGACTTTAATAAGGCCAAAATATGGCTGAAACAAATTGAGCTTGATGCCAAGAAGAAGGAATCATTGTCTTGGGCTATGATGAAGTACAAAAGTTGTCTTAGTGATACAAGGTAGAGTCTGTAGATGAGGTACAAAACTGAAGTCTTTAGGAGGGGAAAGGCAGGAATCCAAAGACACTGAGAGTTCTTGCGAATGGCAGTCTCATGAGCATCAAGGAAGAAAGAGGCAACGCACAGAATTCAGACAGGAGCAGAGGACTGGAAGAAGACATAGGTTCAAAGCTGCTGAACAATACAATCTCTCCTGAACACAGAAGCAATTCTAGACCACTGTTTTTTGTTAAGGGGCAATGTTTAATCCAAGTAGACATGGAGGAGAGAAAATCAACTCTCCCTCCATCCCACCCCAGTTTTTAAAATTTGTCTACAGCCCTGATTCCCTTATTTATAATGGAAGGGGAAGGGGTAGTTGATTCTTGTCATCAATCACAAGTTATCGAAATCACAACCCTATAATGGCTGCGGGTTTCTCTCTTATCTGCCCCAAGCTCTGTTTGGAGGAAAACCTGTCTTGTGTGACTAGTCATTTTGCCCTGACATTCACAGTTTGCTCCTTGCTGCTGAGTAGCTTGGAAGGCCTGAGAAGTTTCTGTAAGCCAGCAGCTGCCTAAACAAGTACATTTGGGCTGCTGGACATAATTACAGCCCAGCTAATAGAGGATTGAAGGGGTTTTTGTTTGATGTGTGGGGAGGCTGGGTTAGTGTTTTTGAAGTAGTGGAGCATCTTTTGTTAGTTTGTTACTGTTTCACTGTTATTGATTTAGTGGTGCTACCAGGTTATGATTTCTCTTATTTCATATGGCGACTGCCCTACATTAATAAAAGACCAGTTACCATGATCTTTCCATGAGATGCCTGGAGTACAATGTATTAAGTCTTCTGTGTTTCTGTTCCAGAATGCATACACATACATGATGGGGGCATGCGTAATTGTCTTCAGGTTTTTCTCAATTTGTGGGAAACATGTAAGTATAAATTAGGACCTACAACCCTTGCAGTGCCTATGTATAGAATAAAGGACTAATTGCTACGTGTCTCTACTGCACATTCTGTAAGGCTCCGTTTTATGTGCCAAAAAAAAAGGAGACTCCAACTTTACAGGCTGCCTTTAAAATGTCAGGATTTTAGATATATCGTATAATAGCACCATATTATGGTTACTGGAAAAGCTACATTTTTTGCAAAAAAAAAGTGCAGCTGCAATACCACACAGTTTTTTTTGAAATGCTCTCTAAAACTCTCAACATATATTGTGCTATTTTGAGCAGTTGCCATTTCAGTGTAGTGTGTTGTGCACGCTATTTATTTTCTCTGCAAAACTAGTGGAGTGGTGGTTGATGCACTCATCTTGTTATAAGAGTGCTCTCTTATAGAAGTTTCTTCCTCCAGAGTGAAGGTCTGTGTCTTGTGTCTCTACAATATATGTCTTATCACAGTAAAGGATTTATTTTCAATTTAAAAAAATATTGAGCCAAGATATTAATCTGGAAACACTGGCACGGTGACAAAGCAAGTCACTTCTAAAGCTTAAATTTCTGTTGTGTTTGGATTTGCTTTGGTATAATTGAGAGTAGGCTGGCAGAGTAAGTATAGGCAGAGAACAAACACATTTGTTTAACAAGGGATGACACTCTGCGTTCTCTTGCTGTAGAACTTCTTAGACTATCCAAACATTTTCTGTGAAATCTGACATGTTGAAGTAAACGTGATGAAAAGACTGCTGCACTAGGTTGTTGAGGTTAAGAACAGTAAGTCAGAGGGTTTGTTCAGTAAAGATAAAAAGTTTTCTTTCAATCAAGCTACTCAGAGCCTGTAGAGCCTTGGAAGTCAAATGAAAAATCCTCGCTTCTCCTATGCAGCCAGACAAAGTGATTGCCTTCAAAGCTTTCTGATTGATTCTAAAGTTCTTTTCAAGGTTTTAACCTAGTCATTTGTGCTTTCATGTTAGGAGCTGCATCAGTTTCACTAATTTAACTGTTGTGATGCAATGTGATGACTAAAAGTCAGCATGAGTTATCAGCTTGTCATGATTCTAAAGAAAACTGCTACTCTCAGTCCTATTAAACAGAATTTTCCATAGCCTCCAAACTGGTTAAGGGTGTTAGGATAATCTAACTTTATCAGGAGTAAAATGTACAATATGCATGCATGGGAAAGTATATTTACCGTCTAGGCCTACAGCCTATGTAATTTCCAAAATCATGCTGTCTTCTCTTTGGCCAACTTGTGTGAGAAATTACTAGTTTAATCAAGGTGTGCTGATCTTAAGGAAGCCCCCTTCTGTATACATCAACCCATTCCTTTAGGTAGGCTGCAGTATCTGTGGTTTCCACCTAACAGTTAGCATCACTTTCAGGTAAGTCCACAGTAGCTGACTGCACCGTGGTTCATGCAATGCTAATTTTGATACTTCCGGAGTATACTGATCCTAGAATATTATAGTTAAGCTTATGCTGTGTTATTGATGTATAATCCTATACTGTATTATCCTGTATATACTCTTTGAGGGGCAACTTCTTGACCTTGCAAAGTGGGCGGATATGCTGATCTCTTTACCAAGAAAAAAGCACACTAAATTTCAGAGGAAGACACAAAATGTTCAGTTCCAATCAGATTCATAATGTACCATTTCACTGGGCTCATCCATTAACGTATATGTGTAAAGAATTACTTGTCAAAATGGCAAGTGCAATAACTCTCTTTTCCCTTTTATCTCTGATTTCCTGAATAGCGTCATGGATTGCTTTTTCTCTGTCCTTCCAGGTGACACTAAAAATGCTACTCCTGACTGTGGTTGTCAGCATGTACAAGAGTTTCTTCATCATAGTAGGAATGTTCTTACTGCTTCTTTGTTATGCTTTTGCTGGAGTGGTTTTATTTGGTACAGTGAAATATGGAGAGAACATTAACAGGTACTGTATGTACTTACTACCTCATGGGGATGTTCTTTAAACAGCCTGAAAAATCACATTTCTGCTAGAGAAGTTTATCTGTGGTAAAAGCCAGACAAGTCCCCAGGTCTAGCTGAAGAGCTCTAATCAGGTATTTTGATAGGAGACACTGAGCCATCTTTCCAGTCCTTGTGCATTGGACCAAATGACACCCGATCCAGCCCAGAGCAGCCTGAGAGCTATTCTTCATTATGCCAGCTGAATATGCTTCAAAGCAGCACAGCGCTAGCCACAAGCTGCTGAAACCAATGTACCTACTACACTTTATCAGCATCAGCCAGGAACAGGATCCATATACCAGGCTGATAACAGAGCAGGGACATTTCTGTGAACTGGCTGTTAACTGGAGATTTCCTAATCAATAGCATCATCCGGCTTCAGGAAGAGAATGGAGACAGGAGATAGGATCTGGCTCTTTGATAAAATAAGCCAAAATACTCAGCCCTGTGTCTGAGCTAAAGTTTAGTTATTATACCTTAGGTCATGGAATAAATAATTCAGTGAGCTCATTCAAATAATACTGTAACTATTTTTAGTTTAAAATAATAGAACAGTAGAAAATGAAAGTGATTTGCATTTTTTCTTGCCAACGTTTTAGTTCTGGGATGTGAAATGATCTCTCTCTCTCCTATTCTTTAAAACAGACATGCAAATTTTTCATCAGCTGGAAAGGCTATTACTGTACTCTTCAGAATAGTTACTGGAGAAGACTGGAACAAAATTATGCATGACTGCATGGTAAGTACAGTTCTGCCAGAGATAAAGTAGGCAAGAAACTGGAGACATGCTTGCATCTCAAAGTGTTTCCAGTATCTTAGCTTTGTACAAGGTATGTTGTGATTGCCTTTATCTCTTCAAGAGATAAAATGTTCACTAAACCTGAGAACATGACACACAAATTGCAGCTCCAATCACATAGTCACAGTGTAATATTTCATGGGGCTAGGCTATTACATGATTTAAAAACAAAAAAGGTGTTTTCAAAATCAGAAGAGCAGTAACTCACTTTTCCACTGTTATCTCGGCTTTGACAGGAGAAAGGTGACTTTTCTGATTAACTTTGTCTTTACTGCCTGCACTTTGGCTCATTCTGTGTGAATGGTAGTCTTAATGACCTCAAAATTTGACCTTGAATAATTTTATTTTGCCCAAGTAAATTTCTGTCTGTGGTTTCTATTGCGATGAAACCCATATGCCATTCCTTTTTAAAGCTGATGGGCAGTGAAGCTTTTTGAAAACCATGGCATTTCAGAGGACCAAGTTGATTCTTTACAGTGGCATAATGCACAGTGTGCCTTGTCTGTGGTAGTGAGACCCACGCCTAGGCCTTTTTTGTCATTCCTCTCTCATTTTTATCATTTCATGAAAATGCCCACATTATTATTCCCTAATTGGGAAGCTTTGAAGAAATAACAGCTATAAGTATTGTACTGGTTGCAGAGAAATTAAGAATCTCTTATTATGATTGATTGACTTTGCTTTCTTTTGTTTTGAAGGTTCAACCTCCATTTTGTACACCAGATAACAGCACCTACTGGAAAACAGACTGTGGAAATTATGCTGGTGCTCTTATGTATTTCTGTTCATTTTATGTCATAATTGCATACATCATGCTAAATTTGCTTGTTGGTAAGTGAAAATAGACATTAATAACAAAAAGGTTCATCTTGGCATGTAGTATGTTAGATGTGAGTCTGTTGTGCTATTTAGGTATGAGGTTACGTTGTACCTTCACTGTTACCTTATATGCGAATGATGTTTTTCATACTTCTCTGGCACGGTGAATCCTAAAACTCAGGAAGTTTGGGAATTAAAGTTTTTTGAACAAAGAGATGTGTTATATTTGTAGAGTATAGTTACCCTAAGAAATATTATTTTTCTAAGCTTCTTCTTCCAGTTAACATTTTTCCAACATCATTGGAATTCACCAAATTTATCTTAGAAGATGTTAGGTTAGGCATCTCACCAGCTTTTAAGATATAGCTTATAAAAGTGAGCACAGTGAATATTAATGTAGCATGACAATATATTACCCATTCGAAATCCTCATCTGCATCTCACCTAAATGCATTTATTAATGTGAAGTTTGCACAACAGAATTCATATTCTGCTGAAATTCATTGTTGCTTATAGATGTTAACCAGTTAGAATGTAACTACAGGCTTTCTTTATAGTGTATTTTGGTTTTGTGGTTTTCAGCTATCATTGTGGAGAATTTCTCATTGTTTTACTCAACTGAAGAAGACCAACTTTTAAGTTATAATGATCTTAGACATTTTCAAATTATATGGAATATGGTTGATGACAAAAGAGAGGTAAGAAACTTGATAATGAGCACAGAAATCCAGTAAATATACATTTTTCCTTGAAAAATCATATGGGGAAAACCAAGTGTGCTGACAAAACTCACTGAACGGTTACTGTTCAAGTTCTAAAAGTTCAGTGAGCGTGATGTAAGATTGTTCATGGCCCTTCAAATACTAACCTGTATTCTTTACTACTGTGAAGTACTGTCATGGTTTAAGCCTACCCAGCTGGCAACAAAGCACCCCGCAGCTGCTTGCTCACCCCTACCCTGAGGGACAGGGAGGAAAAAATACAACCGAAAAGGCTCCAGGGTCGAGACAAAGGACAGGGAGGGCTCACCTGTTATGGTCACGAGCAAAAAACAGACTCAGCTTGGGGAGAACAACATACATTTAATACAAA